TACTGCGTATTTGTTAATGTTCACGATGAGTGTTCTTGCTCTTGTTTAAAAATTCAAATATACTATCTTCATCAGTGATGTCAAAAGCTAATAATCAAAAAAAAATTGTAGAGCTATATTGGATAAAAGCAGAAATATTCGCTGAAGAAAACTATAACTCACTGAACAGAATAATTAAAAAATAAATAAAAAAGAAAGATGATTGATAAATAAAAAGAACAAAAATAATTGATGCATTACTATCATTTGAAATATAACAAAATTAATAGTTGAAAAGGATCATATTATTTTGTGAAATTAAATCAAGCTTAAGTTAGAGGTGGGTATGAAAGTAGAAAAGATTAAATTAGGTATTATAAATATAATAGCTATAAAAAGTTAGTTTTTTTAAATTTTATTAGAAAAATATTAATTACTGAAGGTATCTACAAATTTTAGGAGTACAAATATAACTACCGTTTGAACTATGTGTGCGCTACAGTACATTATTTCATATAGATCCTCAAAACTCCACATCTAGAGCTTTTATTATTATTATTATTATTATTATTATTTTCGCTAATGCATCTAGAGCTTTTATTGGTCATTAGAGATAAAGATTGTATCTATAACTAGAGTTTTTTTATTCTTTAAAAAAAAAAAAAAAAAGAACAACACTGACTCAATAATGTCACATCGAGACCAACCAAGACATGTATAATATTTTTCATATACACGTGAAACATTATTCGTACTTTATTTACTTTAATGTAAATTCAATCATCATATAGTCCAACACATATAATAATAAGTGTTATATGATTGTAAAAAAAAAAATTACGTATACGAACGAATGTTACACAAATAATATGAAAAAGTTACACTTGTCAGTCTGTATAGTTGCCAAACGAATGTTACACATATAATATGAAAAAGTTACACTTGTCACTCTGTATGGTTGCTGAACTTTACGTAATATTGAGACGTTTGTTTTTTATATTCACCATTGATTCTGAATCATGATTTATGGTTCTCTACAGTATTTTTTCTCACAAAAAATACACGTAAAACGAGAATAATTTTGAATTATAATTCTGAATACATAAATCAAACGTCTTCTAAATTTTTATTTTCCTTATTAAGTTTTTATTTTATTATGCAATCAAATTAAAGAAGGAATAAGAATTCGAAAGATAAACTATAAAAATGTTTTAGTTCTGAATTTTTAATCAAACATCACAAAATTTTCTTAAACCGTATTTATTTCTCATAATTTATATGAATTTTTAATCATTTCCCGGATTTGAACGCCCAAGGTAATCTGTAAAAAAGCTCCGTCAATCTTAAATCTTAAAAAAAAAAAAAAATCGTTAAATTCAATTATTACATTTTAGAAATGGTGACTATTGTTTTTCTTTTTCTTTGTCAAATATTAACATGAAAAACCTTTTGGCTTCAATTGACGTTAATGACTAAGAAAAATGCTACACACTCTAATCCCTCCATCAATTGGGCCTACATATAGGCAAGAAAAGGCTTGAACTAATATATTGGTGGGCCGCCTCCCATCAATTGGGCCTACATATTAGGCCAGAAAAGGATTGAACTAATATTAGTGGGGTGCGCCAGGCCCGTGCTTTAGTGCAACGCACAGGCGACGCTCGAGGGCCCCAGTAGCAAGCTACTGTGGTGGGCCCTCCCCCTAAAAAAATTAATTTAATATCATGTGGGTGAATCACCCACGTATCAGATATTAAACTGATAAGAACAGATACTACACTTGATCTTAGCCAAAAGGCCGAGAAAGGTATGATTTGCTCAGCAATTCCTTCCTTCTTTTATTGCCTCGCAAACCCGGCCCTTGCTTTTCACTTGGTCCATGTGGGACTCCGTCACTCCAATAATAACTCACAAAACCCCACCAGACAAATTCAAGACACGAAATCAAAAACAAAACAAAGCTCTTTTAATTTATTACAAGTTTAGTTATAAATATTAGAATTGTGGCAAAATACATGACTCTAATTTCGTTACAGCAAGGAGACCTATATATATATATATCTAATTTCATTACAGATATTAACTCTAGTTTCAAACATAATCATTACATTTTAATATCAAGATATTTTTAAAATGCCACGAGAATTAAGCATGTTATAATTTTCATAACTCCAGATTTAGGCATGCCTTATGGCCCATTTTTCATATACTCAAATCCGAATTATTAATTATGCTACAGTATTTTTCTTTTATAAAAAATTTAAATTTCAAACGTTAGACTCAAAAATTATGATTTGCGTATACCTTTTAAATAAGCCCTTATTTTCATTTATGAATGCCTAATAAGTTAGAATATGAGAAATCACCCTCAAATTACCAAGTTTCTTTTTGTCTCGTTATTTTTTAGACAATTGACACTTTTTTTTTTTTGGCCTAGGCGATTGAATTGATTGTAGGGTTAGTTGAGATTTTGTTCTTACGTGAAGTTGTTAGCACATTACTTTGACATGGTTTTTAGTTTGAATTTCTCACTGTGTGTGTGTAGGCTGTCATTGGATGTGATCTTCTCTTTAGAAATTTGTGATCTTCTCTTTTTTCCTGTTGAAATATTGTTTTTTTTTTTTTTCATATATGCCCCAAGTGAATTTCACACTTTTTTATTACTTCAATATAAAAATTCAGCATATGCCTCATTAAATTAGAAATCTAGCTCCGCTATTGCATATAAGTAGTAAATAGGTACTGGTTAGGTAAAGTCAGTAGTAAAAGAATTCTTTAAAAGGTTTACTTTCTAATTAATTAGTGAAAATGCTTTAAAAAGTTTAGTTTGTAATTAATTAATGAGAAGGGTAGAAATGACATTTTTCATCTCAAAAAAAGGCCTCAAGATATTAAAAAATGATTTCTGAAAACGTCCAGGTACCAAATCAAAATTATCAAAAATACAAAGTACTACAAAATAATTACGTTAAAACATAGGGGTATCAAATACGGTGCATATCATTTTTATAAATACATTGCTAATTTTGACGTGTTCTTCTCAAGAACGGATAGTAAGCATGATATGAGTAAATTTTAGTCCCCAACTTGGAGCTAAATTTGACAGTGTACACATCCCAATTTTAGAAAGAAAAGGATATTGTTGGGAACGTTTGGTAAGGGGATTCGTACCCTGATTCGAATCATGATTCATGATTCGCTACAATATTTTTTTCACAAAAAAATACACGTAAATCGAAAATGATTCTAATCTCATGATTTTAATCTATAAACCAAACGTCTCCAAGCTGATTTTTGTAACATCATTTCTGTTCTACAAGTAAGGCAAGAGTCCTTCCATGTATAAGCAATTTTAGGATAAAAGGTTTTAGTAAATATCATTTGTGTTAATGTCAAAGATTCGACAGAGAAATATATACTTGTGTGAGTATCGTACAAGCTTAAAGTAAGTATATGATCCTATAACGATGATGGATTGTTTTCCGTAATTCAGTGGTTCATAATAGGCAGAAATGTGATAGGGGTATTGCCACGATATGCAGCCAAATTCCTTGTTGTATCATGTCAACATCCAATATGTGCATGTAATAATTTTAAAATGGGATTTGGTTTTGGACTGTTGAAACCCGATTTATGCTTTTTCCGCATTCATGGTTTTACCACAAAAATGTTTCTCCTCTGTAGAAATCGTGTCAGGTGGATCCAAGCAGAACTTTGCTTGTTTTGGTCTATGGAATTGTTGATTTGACTTTGCTATTGTTTGCAGTAAACTAAAACTAATAAGTGGTTCGAAGTGCTATAATTGGTCAACATCCTCGCTTGTGGTGGAGTGCTGCAAATATTATGACATTTGACCAAGTTAACCACCCAAAGAAGAAGAGAGTAATATTGCAAGAGTAACCAAAGCAAAAGACTTTAATGGCGTTTCAGGTTTGATAGAGAGCTCGACAGAGTTCACCTTAAAAAGGCCGGTTGCTGTTCGCAGTGAATGATTGAATTTGAATAATTTGTGTCATCGTATTCAAAGTCTGTGTCTTGTTGCCTAATATTGGATGATGAATATGCTATTTCAGTTTATATTTCATGAACCAAAATCCAAGTACTTAAACCAAGTTTACCCCGTAAGTCTCCACCACTGGTATTTCCTAATCTCAAAAACAGGACCATTGTCACTGGCATCACTAAGTCAACCGTAGGTCTTTCTAAACTGTTTTTATGGATCCGTTTAGTTTACGCGTTCAAGTCAGTAATTCTAATTCTTTAGTCAGTAATTTTAATTCATTAGCAAGAACTTTGTGAAACAAGAAATTTTTGATTTTAAATTATTTGTAAGATAAAAAACACTGTAACATAATTAGAATTCCAAACGGGGCCTAAATGTTTCCAAAAGCTTTTATTTGGCCACAGCACATGTAGAATAGATTCCCAAATGGACATACATAGCTTGGAGCCACCTCACAGGGCAGTAACCCCGCCTCAGAAGGTGGTGGACCCCACCTGCGCTGGACTAGAGAACATTTTTTCATAAACTCACGGCTTTGAATCCCAAAATTTTTAAGAATCTCCCTTTGATATTTTCTTTCAGAAGAGGCACTAACCTTTCAAGCTTTCTTTGAATGTCTCTAATATGCTGCAAATAAAGGCCAATTATTGGTAATACCACTATGACCACATATCATTACCTTTATCTTTATGCTTACCAACCTCTACCATCTAAACTCATTTATGTCTTTACTACGCATGTTCTGGTAACAATAATAATCACTGTTATAACTATGCAAGTTACTAAGGCCTCGTTCACTTCACCGATTCGAGTTTTCAATTTTAGGTTTCTACAGTAAAAAACTCTCAGAAAATGTCACATCTAACTTTTTCTGCTACAGTAAAAAGCTCTCAGAAAATGTCACATCTCAGCTTGAATTGAAAACTCGAATCCGTGAAGTGAACGAGGCATATATGACTACACTATGTCAACCTATTATAAAGCTCGTTTGTATGCACAAAACAATATGCAACTTCAGTTTCCCAACATCCGTTAAAGATTAAGAAATAAATAAATAAATAAACAATGCACTTTGGTAATCAAATCCAATGCCATTATTAAGTAGCATTACCTGTACAAATAAATATTTGAGCTCAGTTTCTAACTACTGATTTGGTAAAACATAGAACGCTTTTTTTTTCAACAAACTTTTTAACTTGGACTAGAAAAGGGGTGGGTGTTAGAAGAACAAAACTGTTTGACAAAATCCATCTCCGAGGCACCAAGATGATGACATACTGATTGAACAAGGCAAGAGACAGAAATTGCTAATTAAGCCTTCATATGGTTCTCAACTAGGCGTAGTCTGACCTTTATCCCGGTACGCAGCCTCTAAACATTCTTTGGCCCTGTGAACCTTTGATTGAAGGTAAAAGCTACCATTCGTAGAATTCCTCTCAAATAAAGCGTCGTATTTCTACAAAGGTTATAAAGAAATACAAAAGACAAGTTACAATTTGAAGCTAAGCTTGGTCCATTCCATGAGTTAAACAAGTGTGAAAAACTAACCTTTAGAACATCCTCCCAAGCAGTTTCCTCCGTCAGGCCAAGAATCTGTCTAGCTTCTTGCTCTGTCATGACCTTGCTTCCTCTGCGAATTGCATTTTGTAATGTTTCTTGAGCAACGCCGGTTTTGTTGGCATCTGCAACAAACACCAGTATAAATTTATGGAGCATGGAAGTACGGACACATGACACACCCAAATCAATCGTAGTCACGACCGCAACGCAACAAAAATAACTTACTGCTAATCAACATTAAACTCTTTTAAGTTACTTATTTGTCACGGGCATTATTAAAACATGTGGAAAAAAAAAGAGCTTTTCAACAACTAACAAACAAAACACAACCTTGCACAATGAAAACCTTTCAATCAAGATTATGGTACAATTCAATGAATACACAAAGGCATGTTCCAACACCCCAGAACATAAATCAGAAATATAAGGAGGCTAATAGAGTATAAAAGCGAAATAACTGCGAAAATACAAAGCATTGACATCGCTAAAAGAACTCATTAATCTTGCACACTTCACATAGCCATAGGAACCTAAAGTATCACACTTTTTTTTCAAAAGAGCTTCCCAGCCCCAAAAAAAAAAAAAAAAAAATCAAAAGTGCGACTGAATCTTATGCTGACGTTAAAATTCAAAATAATAAAATAATAATATTATTAAAAAAAAAAAAAAAAACTTACTGGCAAGGGCTTGACGGTATGCTTGAACAAAAGCCCTAGCTAATACGCTAGAACCCATGACAATTAAATTTGCAAGAATCTTCGCAGCCTGTGAAAATATATATAACAATATTCATCAACAAAATTAGTTAAAAAATCAATCTTAATAAAAAGTGAGAAAAAATCCCAATTACTGTTTCAGTTATTACAAAACAATTAACCCACCTCTTCTCACAGACACACACAAACGAAAATAATTTTAACAAAATCATTAAGAGATTGCAATGAAAATTGATTCTTTAACAAATAATTCTTGGGCAAAACAATCAATTTTTTCAATTGTCGCTCAAAGAAGATCGGAACAAGCTTACCATAGCTGAACGGCAAAACAGCTCTTTGTTTCCCGAACGAGATTAGGGTTTTTTTTCTCTCTCGTAAGAAAAAATTCCTCGGAAAATTTAGAATTTTCCTCGATAAATTTCGAAATCAGATGTTTCTTTTGCTTTTGGGGAAATGATATCTGCTTTTGAATCAATAGAAACAACCAAGAAGACAAAACCGCCCCCTATATTATTTTTTAAAATTAATTGAACAATGTGATTTTTTTTTTTTTTTAAATTTCGTCAGCAATTCATTCCTTCTTTTATAGCCTCGCAAAGGCAGCCCTTGCTTTTTCACTTGGCCGATGTGGGACCCCGTCACTCCAATAACTCACAAAACCCCGGACAAATTCAAGACACGAAATCAAAAACAAAACAAAGCTCTTTTAAGCCCGTTTATTTCGTTAATTTGAGTTTAAAATTCAAGTTTTGTTATAGTAAAAAATTCTCATAAATAATTACATTTAATTTTTTTATTACAGTAAAAAATTCTCACATAAAATCACATCTCAACTCGAATTAAAAACTCAAATCAGCAAACTAGTTTAATTATAAATATTAGAATTGTGGCAAAATGCATAACTCTAATTTCGTTACAGCAAGGAGACCTATATATATCTAATTTCGTTCTAGATAATAACTCTAATTTCAAACATAATCATTTATATTTTAATATCAAAATACTTTTAAAATGCCACGAGAATTAGACATGTTATAATTTTCATAACTTTAGATTTAGGCATGTTTTATGGCCCATTTTTCATATACTCAAATCCAAATTATTAATTATGCTACAATATTTTTCTCTCATAAAAAATTTAAATTTTAAATATTAGAATCAATAATCATGGTTTGCGTATACATTTCAAACAAACCCTTATTTTCATATATATAAATGCCTAATAATTTAGAATATGAGAAATCACCCTCAAATTACCAAGTTTTTTTTTTCTCTGGTTATTTTTAAGACAATTGACACCTTTTTTTTTTTTTTTGCCTAGGCGATTGAATTGATTGTGGGGTTAGTTGAGATTTTGTTCTTACATCAAGTTGTTAGCACATAACTTTGACATGGTTTTTAGTTTGAATTTCTCACTCTCTATATATATTTATATGTGTGTGTGTGTGTGTGTATAGGCTGTGATTGGATGTGATCTTCTCTTTAGAAATTTGTGATTGGATGTGCTTGGATGTATATATATAAAATAGCCTTTTGAAATTTGTGATCTTCTCTTTTTTCCTGTTGAAATATATAGTTTTCTTTTTTTTTTTTTTCAATATATGCCCCAAGTGAATTTCACACTTTTTTATTACTTCAATATAAAAATTCAGCATATGTCTCGCTAAATTAGAAATCTAACTCCGCTATTGCATATAAGTAGTAAATAGGTACTGGTTAGGTAAAGTCAATGGTTCTTTACTACCTTATAACATGTAGAGATGAGAGGTTTAACATGATATTTGTTGATGGTTTTATGTTCTTTATTATATTGTTATGCGTCAATTTGTTATCTTGGTAGCTTTTTGTAATTTTTTTTTTCTATTTAACTTTTCCCTGATAGGTGGTTTTCTAAATGAAATTTGGGGTTTGATGTCGAAAGTTGCCTTAGGATCCTGCATATAAGCCCAATAACTGCAGCTTAGTCCAATAGGCAATAACCTACTTGTAATACTTTTCTACATAGTTTTATATTTTAGTTGTTTTTTTTTGTTTTGTGTGTGTGATAGAATTGGAACTAAAAGCAATTGGAAATGAGCTTCAGAATTCCATTGAGGTATTTGTCCCCGTTCATTTTGTCGATTTGAGTTTAAAATTTGAGTTTTTCTACAGTAAAAAGCTCTCAGAAACAGTCACATCTAACTTTTTTACTACAGTAAAAAGCTCTCACATAAAATCACATCTCAACTCGAATTCAAAACTCGAATCAGCGAACTAAACGAACCCTAATAATCTACAAGATTAGGGTTCAATAAATATAAGATCAAAAAATTACATTGCACTAAAAAGGAGGACTTATAGTGGTACAAGTATTTCATGTCTACTTAATCATTTACTCGTACTATTTGTAGGTATAGAAAAGGATAAAATTTTCTTTATAATTGATACATTCAGAAACCAACTCTTAGAAAATTGATTTTCCTCTTCGTAAGCGAGACTTCCTTCATTTGAGTTCCAAAAGTGATGAAAATAAAGAACAAAAGATAAGAACTCGGGAGAAGACAAACTCCTAGTTTGATTAGTGGGAAAAGTCTACAACGACATCTGAAAATCTGTCGTTTTTCCATTTCAGGCACCAAATTATACATGAAACTTGAAAGTCAACCCAAAAGCAATACGACAAGAAGTACTAGAAAACTTGGCCAAGGACTTGCCTCCAGTTTACTCATCCATAGTCCAACACTCCGACCTCTCAAATCTCTCTCGTGGGCCTCAAGCCTCCATGGGACGTCCATTTTGGTAAAGTCAACAAGAAAAACGTTGCGGTCGCAGGGGATGCCATGCACCCCATGGCACCCGATCTTGGCCATAACGAGTGTGCAGCGCTGGAAGATGCTGTCGTTTTGGGGCAGCACATTGGGGACTTGGTTCTCAACAAACGACATGTCGTTGGAGAGAGCACTTGCCTAGCCTTTGAAAAATCTGCCGAGAAAAGGAGGTGGAGAACGGTTGGAATGGTGGTTTTAAGCACTTTTCTATGTGGGTTTGTGGAACAAAGTGGGTGTGGATTTTTTTATGGAGTTCTTAAGGAAGATTATGGGGTTTGATTAGCTTTTCTAAAAATGGGTTTTTGGTGTTATGCACTATGATTGTGGTAGGCTTCCTTGTGATTTGAATTTTGATGCCCAAAAGGAAGAATGATGACACAATAATTAGGGCATGTTCTTTTGTCCAAAAAATTAAAAAAAAAACAACTCAAGTTTCAATTTTATTTAAATTCACGTTCTTTTAAGTTTCAACTTTATTTAATTTTACTCAACTTTATTCAAGTTCTAACTTCAACTCAAGTTATAACTCAAATTCAACTCAAAAACTACACTCAAGTTACACTCCAAAAGAACAACTCCCTTAGTTTCTTTCATGTTTTAGTGGACGTTTAGTTTATGGATTCAGAATCATAATTCAGAATTATTTTTAATTTACGTGTGTTTTTTATGTGAGAAAATACTGTAACGAACCACGAATCATGGTATGAATGCACCAACTAAACGCACCTTTATTGTTCATTTTCAATTAAATTAAGGTGTGTAGTTTGATGCCAATGTAAGACAGTTGTTAGTTCATAAACATTATTTTGGGTATTTCTAACCACTTTGAGACAAACTTGAAGATAAGGGTGGCAATTCGTGTCACGTGTCGTGTTCGTGTTGTGTTTTGATCATTTTTTTAAAATTTTCAGTCAACCTGAACACGACCCGTGACACGAAATTTTTTAAAAACCGCGACACGAACACGACACGACCACTTTACGAGCTGACACGACACGACCCGAAAATGACCCATGACACGAAATTGACCCGTGAACCCGAAATTGACACGAAAATTGTATACTTTTATTTAGTTTTTTACATATTAGAAATAACTTAAAATTAATAACACACTAAATTACAATAACATCCATTGAAATTAAGCAAATAATAGTATAAGATTTTGAGTATAACTATCATGATATCACAAGTTCATAATAAAATTTAAAATATGAAATGAAAAATATATGTATTTTTTAGTTTTTTACGAGTTTCGTGTCGTGTTCGGGTTAGGCGGGTCCAACCCGAAATTGACCAGTATTTTTCGTGTCAATTTCAGGTCGACCCAATTCTGACCCGAACCACTTTTTTCTCAACCCTAACTCGCAAAATTCGTGTCGTTTTCGAGTCGTGTCGTCGTGTCGTGACCCATATTGCCGGCCCTACTTGAAGGAGGTGACCAACAAGAGGTTTAACACACTTGTTTTCAAATTTCAAGTTGAGTGGAGTAAAATGGATATGAGTTTGATATCCTCGAAAAAGAAAACAAGATTTGAGTTTTTATAATCTTCTTTGTAGGGGCGGAGCAACATTCATCTCAGTACTGCATGTAAACTCGGTGAGTTTTTTATTTTTATTTTTTTTAACAAAGGAATATATATTTCAAAATCACCAATAAATTCTATTGAAACACCTTAGGAGATAACACGTGCACCATATTCCAACAAAAATCCTATAATAATAATAGACAGTGATAAAAAATTATTTAGTATCTTTACTCAATAAAAAAGGTTATATGTACGTATACCTTCATTTAAATTTCATGAAGAGAATTCTCCTAGTTTTCCATGAAGAGAATTCTCCTGGTTGCGTGCTAAATTTCTATTGTAGCTTCTTGTAGCATTTTATATTACACATTTCGTCCTTATTCATTTCATGTCTTTAATTATATTATTATAGTGTTTCTCTCATATAAATTTAAATTTAATTTTTTTATTACAGTAATTTTTTTTATATGTAAAATTCAAGTCATGATTTAAGTTATACAAATGAATACTATATACCCCCAACAAGACCAAATTTTTAGTTTCTCAAAATTAGGGTCCGTTTAGTTCGCTGATTCGAATTTTTAATTTAAGTTGAGATGTGACTTTATATGAGAGCTTTTACTGTAATAAAAAAGTTAAATGTAATTATTTTTGAGAGTTTTTTATTATAATAAAACTCAAATTTTAAACTTATATTAGTGAAATAAACGGGATCCGAAAAGAAAACCTTGCCAAACAAGAATCTTGTCATCTTTTCCAAGCAAAAAAGAATATTGTCTTCTTTGCAAGCGGCGGTTAATCGGACCTCTATTGTTTTATCTCTATCCCCTTTCGAGGAGACAAGGACTCGTGTCAAACAAACTTGAGCCGTCCAAATACGACTAAAAATTTGTATGCAGAAAATCTGGAACTTTGTAGAAGTGCTCAACTACTTTATTATTATTGTTGTTGTTGTTTGCTACCAAAAGTACTTTACTATCACTTTTATTATTTTTTTGATATTAAAGTACATTATTTTTTTTTTTGCTAAAAAAAGTACTTCATTATTTGGAAAAACTACATCGACCCTTATATATATATATATATGTTAAATTACAATAGCACCCTTTTGCCAAAACGTTTTAAGTTAGCACTCCCTTGTCTTCATTTTGTTAATTTTGATATCTAGTAATCAAAATAATTAAACAATCTCAACCATCAATCTACTTGTTGCATTGATTTTAGCCCTCTTGATAATATCATTTTATCACCATTAGAGTGCAAGTTATAGTTGTGAGTGTTCAAAAAGCACTCAACATATTTTTTATTAACTAAATAAGGGTAAAAATATCACTTTAGATCCTAAATATATAGCTTGAATCATTTTCATAAAAAAGTGAGGTGGTTTAAACTAAGGCCTAAAAGATAATATCATTGAGGACATCAAGGATAGTACCCGTACTTCTAGAAGTGGAAACATCGGTCGACAAAAGGATCACTCTAAGATGATCATCTCATGGCTATTAAGAATGAATCAAATCAGATGGTTATATTTCTCCATCTTTCTGACTTGCTCCTATAGAACCAAGGTGCTTTCCTCGATTCAAGAATGATGTAGCCCCTTTTGTTGCTTGGTATGCTTTATCTTCTTATGTTCACTTGGTTTGGGATGTTTCCATTCCTCGTGTTATTAGTCCTTATGTAACGACTGATATTGTTGCTATTTATTAAAACTCATTTTACCATAAAAAAGATAGGGTTATTTTTGTCATTTTCAAAAAAATTTAATTGTCAAACGACACTCTTTTGTCAAGTTTAACTAACAGATTTTAGTATGTTTTCCGAGTGAAAACTCAAGATTTTAAAGATTAAAATGTTTCGGGTAACGCAAAAAAAAAAATTAAGTTGTAATTTAAATTGTGAAAAAAAAACACGCATGCGTGGACGTTTAGTTGATAGATTCATAATCATTCTCAATTTATATATTTTTTAATAAAAAAATACTATAACAAATCACGAATCATAATTTAAATCATGACATGAATTTAACAACCAAATAGTTTAAGGTTTTGACATAGCCGCCGCTTTGGTACTCTTTGATTCTTGAATGTTCGACTGACTGTACGTGGACGTTAGTGATATACAAATATAATAATGTATTCATTTATATATTATTAGTTATATATTATATAATGTACGTGTATATAGATAAATAGGGATTATGCCGATAAGGTCTTTGTAAGAAACCCAGAGAGAGAGAGAGAGAGAGAGAGAGAGAGAGAGAGAGATATGGAGATAGTGGAAGAAGTAGTAATAGTGGGAGCAGGAATAGCTGGGTTAGCCACGGCAGTAGCTCTGAAAAGAGTGGGAATTAAAGCATTGATTTTGGAGAGATCGGATGGGCTTAGAGCCACTGGTGCAGCCTTGACTCTCTTCCCAAATGCTTGGCGTGCGCTTGATGCTCTAGGGGTTTCTCATAAGCTTACTCCAATCTACGGCCATTCTAAAGGGTAAATGTTTTCTTCTCTCTTTAAATTTTCATGTCATGTCTCCTGTGAAGAAGGAGAAGATTGTGATATAAGAAAATAGGAAGAAAGGGAAATTTAGAAACTCATATTTTTATTACTGGGTAAACTCTTTATAAAGTTTTCTTAATTTTGTGTTCTGCTATTTTGAGTCTGTCAGTTTACGACTTCTTTTGTCTGAGTCAGAGGTTTTGTTCTCTCGTCTGGATGCATCTCGGTTGGTTGCACATAGGTCTGGAGACTACCTTAATTGTCTAGTCCACGTGTCTTTCAAGAGTTGAAAAGTCTTAATCATATGATAAGAACATCATCCATGGTGCAGTTCTTGAAGTGGATGAATTTTCAGGACTTTTCTTAAAACTCAGAGGCTATCTGGATCATCTACTAAACTAACAATACTCGTAAAATTACTTGCTTTATAATATAAGTTTTTTTTTTATTCTTTTGAAGTCTACAGTATTACTATACTGACTCAATATATGTTTTGTCTCAATTTATTTTTTTTCCTTAATAATGTTGTTTTTAAATAATTGATGTAACATTTGAGTTGTTATTTTTTTTTAATTGATGGGTGTTTTAAAAAATTGCCAGGGTAATTTTAATTGACAATGTAAATCTACTAATAGAAAAACAATTATTCACCTGCACTACGTGAGTTGATATAAAAAGTTTATGATCTCTAACAGGTTTTTTAGATTGCATTATGATCTCTAACAGGTTTTTAGATTCCATGCGATCCTTTTAGGCTTAATCTTGTGCTACTTTAAGTTCATCTATTGACCCAAATGGCTATTAAACAAGTCCTTGGTTGGCAGGATTGTGGAACTAACAATCAGATAAACTACATAATTGCTAAAATACAAAGGCAATAATCTTAAAGGATATTAAGTTAGTAATATAGATGCAGTAAATCCGCACAAACATAATCTAAAGATGCTTAGCTGTTTGAACATTATATTGGTTTTACGGGTTGAAATAATTCTTATTTTTTGAAAAAAAAAAAAAGGGCAATGAACACACTGAAAATGAATATTTCATCTGTAGAAGTTAAACGAGCACGTATATCTTCAGCTCTGTATTCACTCTTGGCACTTGTTGTTTAGGTCATATGTAACAAATTTGGAAACTGGAGCAATTCAAGAAGTCCCTTTCGCTAGAATCAATGTGTAAGCAATGTTTCTCTCTGAGCATATGGTGGAGTTATTGATGATACAAAGCTACTGCAAAGGGCTGTGTGTACATCCTCATTCATCTGCATTTTTCTTCTTGTTTTGTTGTGTGTGAAGCGATGATGGAAGTGGACCCAGATCAGTACACCGAAAGGCCTTACTCGAGGCTTTGGCAGAGGAATTGCCCACCGAGTCCATTTGTTTCTCTTCCAAGCTCGGGGCCATTAAAACAATAACAAATGAAGGTTCTTCTATTGCTGTTGTTCATATGGAAGATGGAAGTGTCATTAAAGCAAAGGTATTCTTCTCTTAATGCCTACTCATGTAGTGGACGTTTGGCTCATGGATTCAGAATCATGATTCAGAACTATTCTCGATTTACGTGTGTTTTTTGTGAGAGAAAATACTATAGCAAATTACGAATTATGATTTAAATCATGATACGAATACACCAACCAAATACACTTGTACAATCCCGCTTTCATTGGTCATAAAACGGACACACAATGTGTAAATTTACAATGCCATCCCAAAAGCTTAAAATTGATAAAAGGTGGGCAAGCAATAGTATTATATTCTAATACAATGCTAATTCTATCCTCATCTTTTTTAGTCTCGAATATGTTTGCTCTTTGGATTGCAGGTTTTGATAGGTTGTGATGGGGTGCACTCAGTGGTGGCAAGCTGGTTGGGACTCGCTGCACCGGTCCTTTCAGGTCGATCAGCAGTTCGGGGATTGGCCGTATTTCCTCAAGGCCATGGAGTCAAACATGAAATCCACCAATTTGTAGGTGCAGGAAGAAGGGCTGGTATTGTTCCCCTCACTGATAAAGATATCTATTGGTTCTTCACTTGTTCATCTCCAGCTACAGGTTCAATGCCATGCCTTTACTCTCTAACAAGTTCTTATTCTTGTATTGTTATAACAGAAACTCCAATAATTTTGGGATAATAACAAAAAAAAACTCCCATATGTTTTCTCGAAATGTTGCGCTTCACCTTATATTGTAATAATGCTGCAACTATCCTCTTCATGGAGTTTTTTTTACACAGCTTGTAAAACACACAAGCATAAGTGTAGCATTTCTAAAAACATAAGATGAAATGCAACGTTTCGATAAAATACCAGGGTGTTTTTATTATATTCACTTTGTTCTGTTTTTTTTTATTTTTATTTTTTATGGTTTGTTTTCAATCATACATGTCTAGTCTGTGGTAGGGTATATAGCTCATGCAGTATCACAATCACAGTGTGTCATTCAACCATAAGCCATAAGGGACCTATCACCATTATTAGCGATACAAAAGCCCAAAAAGTACCTTTTACATTCCCAGAGTTGACTCTGCAATCTTTATGTTAAACAATCATTTGTTCTGCATCAAAGAACCCCAGTTTACAATGTTATACAATAAAGTGAAGAATTAACACCCCGAACCCGAAAAAAAATTAAATAAACCCGAGGCACACATCATTTAACTATAACAATAAACACTAACTTATAAGGACATTAGACCGTCCACTTAATAGGTTAGACCTTTGAAGATGGAAACCATAGTCATCAAAGTCCAATTTCTACAACTTTGCATTGATGCCCCTACCAAATAAATGTTTTATTTCACACATACTTCATTGCAGGGACGGATCACCTGGCTGGAGACCCGGAACTAATACAGAGAGAAGTAATCGAAAACTATGCCAAGGACTTGCCTGAACTATATCTAGACATTGTCAAGCACTCTGATCTTTCAACATTGACATGGGCTCCATTGATGTTCAGGCAGCCGTGGAATGTGGCATTTGGGAACCTAAGCAAGCAAAACGTCACAGTGGCTGGCGACGCCATGCACCCCATGACGCCGGACTTGGGACAGGGCGGTTGCTCGGCGCTTGAAGATGCTGTGGCCCTAGGCAGGCACATTGGAACATCCTTCATACAAAATGGTCGCCTTGTACCCGGTGAAATTGCTGGAGCATTAGGAAACTATGTCGAGGAAAGAAGGTGGCGCGCCGCTTGGTTGATCACGGGATCATATTTGTCTGGGTGGGTGCAACAAGGAGGTTCTTCTTGGGCTGTAAAGTTCTTCAGGGATGCAATATTTTACAGATTCCTTTACCAGAAGATTGTTGGTGTTATGCATTATGATTGTGGCAAGCTTCCGACTACCACCATTTAAACAAATTACAATGAAAGAAGGGAATTCTATTATTTTTGTTCGGAGAAGTGAACATTTTAGTTATATTAGTGACTCTTTTGATTCTGGATATTTAATTTCTACACTTAAAATTTATAGAAAATTTCAGTTGCAAACTCTTTTTTTTTTTTTTTTTTTTTTTAATTTAAGAAAAGTCGTGTGTTCCCTTCTCAATAATTGAAATATATTATTATGTTCCTAGAAAATTTATCTTTAATTATCTGAAAAACTTTCCGACTCTTACATTGTTTGTTATTGCTTTTAGCTAATGGGACGAAAAATTAACTTTTGTTTAAACTTTGTCATATCAAAGATGTCTTGGCTAGTCTTCTCAAAAAACAAAAAAAAAAAAACAAAACAAAAAAAAAAAAACAAAACAAAACGAAACAAAACAAAACTTAAAAAAAAAAAAGAGAGATCTCTTGGGTAGTTTGGACAAATTCGGCTTGTATTTTTCAGGACAAATATAAAAGGGAAACGAACTCATGAGATTGTCAGCACTAAAACATATACTTCCAAAAGATGTCAATATCATAATGCCATTGATGTCAACATTAACTACCAAGATAACCTTCGGATGCTTATCCGTGATACTTCCCCTAGCCTTGCTTTCCTTATGGAAACAAGGTTACGTTCTAAAGCTGCAGAGTCAGTAAAGAGAATGTGTGGTTTCCATGGTGGTTTTTATGTTGACTGTAGTGGTAGGAGTGGAGGTCTTATGCTCATGTGGAGGGAAGAGGTCGAAGTTCATATACAGAGCTACTCTCAGTCCCACATTGACTGTCATGTTCGCTTCCCCCATGGTGTGTGGTGGAGATTTACCGGTTTTTATGGCAATCCATCTAGGAGTGATCGGCATCACTCTTGGACGTTACTGTTACGATTAAAGTCTCTCTCTAACCTCCCTTGGGTTGTAGCTGGCGATTTCAATGAAATCTTCTTTCTTTCAGAGAAGGAGGGTGGAAACAATAGATATTATCCCAGTATGAACCAGTTCCGGGATACAGTGGAGAGCTGTGATCTTGTAGACTTGGGTTTTGTAGGTCCTAAATTTACTTGGGATAATGGGCAGGAAGGGGGTGCTCATATTCGTGAAAGACTTGATCGGGCTTTGGGGTGTGATGAATGGATTAATCTATTCCCACACTATGGTGTTCGCAGTATGGATTTCTACGACAGTGATCATAGAGCATTGTGGCTAGAGTTGGTTCGGGATAGAAATAGGGCCGGGAAGGGGCCCAAGAAGAGGAAGTGGTTCTGGTTTGAACCTTTCTGGATGACTGATGAGGATTTTAAGGATACCTTGAGGACCTCATGGGGCACTACAGGATCGGTGGGGGACTGTGATGGTTTTGGGAGGAAGCTTCGGAGTTGCGGTCGAGACTTAAGTGGGTGGAGCCGCATAAAATTCAGACGCATCACGCGGCGGGTCCGTAATTTACATGAGGAAATTGAGAGGATACGAAATGCATCTGCTTCGGGCTATAATCGAAGACGGCTTCGGGAACTACTGGTAGAGCAAGATCGATTGTTAGCGCTGGAAGAATACTACTGGAGTCAACGCTCTCGGGTTGAATGGTTAAGGGGGGGTGATAAGAATACTAAATTCTTTCACTCAAAAGCTTCTCAAAGGAAGAAGAAAAATAAAATCAAAGGTCTTGAGAAGAGTGATGGAAGATGGGTGACGAGTGACCATGAGGTTGTTGAGGAGATAAAAAAGTATTTTGCTGAGATATTCACGTCATCCATGCCGAGTTTTTTGGATATAGAGTCCGTAACACAAGCAGTGACCTCTTGTTTATCTCCTGGAATGTGTTCTATGTTGGAGGAGCCTTTCACGAGGAAGGAGATCCATCAAGCTCTCTTTGCTATGGGACCTACCAAAGCCCCGGGGCCGGATGGATTCCATGCGACATTTTATCAAAAGAATTGGGATATTTTAGGAGATGACTTGACTAATATGTGCTTGCGGGTTCTCAATGATAATGCCCCTTTCCAAAACATGAATGCGACTAATGTTGTTCTTATCCCGAAGATTAAGGAAGCGAGGAGGGTGTCAGATTATCGACCGATAAGCCTTTGTAATGTCTCTTACAAGGTTATATCCAAGGCGTTGGCTAATCGATTGAAACGTGTTCTCCCTTTGATTATCTCTCAAGAACAAAGTGCTTTCGTCCCGGGTCGGCTAATTACTGACAATGTGCTTGTGGCTTTTGAGGTCCTCCATTCCATCCGACGTAAGGTTAGCGGCAATGTGGGCTTCATGGGTTTGAAACTAGATATGAGCAAGGCCTATGATAGAATTGAGTGGCCTTTCCTTGAAGGGATGATGGAGAAAGTTGGATTTGGGCAACGATTTCGAGGGTTAATCATGAAATGTGTTTCCTCAGCTAGTCTTTCCTTTATGATGGGCAATGAACCTCGTTGTTCGATTCGGCCAAGTCGGGGGCTTCGCCAAGGTTGCCCTATTTCACCTTACTTATTTCTTCTATGTGCGGAGGGACTTACTGCATTACTCAAGCAAGCGGAGGTTTCTGGAAGGTTAGCAGGGATTGTAGTTGCTTGCGGAGCACCGAAGGTAAGCCATCTCCTATTCGCCGATGACTCTATTATTTTTGGGAAAGCTAGGAAAGATGATGCAAGGACAATTATGGAGATCCTTGAGATGTATGCGAAGGCGTCGGGGCAAGTGATCAATTTTGCTAAGTCAAAAATTACTTTCAGTCCAAACACTAGGGAAGAATCGAAAGATGAGGTTAAGGGGTGTTTGCAGCTTGATGAGAATAGTCTCTCTTATGATAAGTACCTTGGGTTGCCCTCTTTTGTCGGTAGGAACAAACGGGTTATTTTTAATGCAGTCAAAGATAGTGTTTTTAAGAAGCTCAAGCTTTGGAGAGGAAGGCTATTCTCTATGGCAGGAAGGGAAATCTTGATTAAAGCAGTGGCCCAAGCTACTACCACGTATACCTTGGGTGTATTTCGGATCCCTCAAACTCTTTGTCAGGAGATTCAAGCTATGATTTCACGGTTCTGGTGGGGCGGCAACGGCACTGAGAAGAAGATTCATTGGGCAAAGTGGGAGCTATTATGTCGTCCTAAGAGAGATGGGGGTATGGGCTTTCGTGATCTGGGAGCGTTTAATCAAGCACTTCTGGCGAAGCAGTGTTGGCGAATCCTTTCAAAACCTTCCTCCTTGGTGGCCATGATTTTTAAGGCTAAGTATTTTCCAAAGGGTGATTTTCTTGATGCTTATATTGGACACAACCCCTCATATACTTGGCGTAGTATATTATGGGGACGAGAACTTTTGAAGAGTGGCATCCGTAGACGTGTTGGTTCTGGAAAATCCATTCGATGTTTTAGGGACCCTTGTTGCCACCTGCAATTATGTGAGGATCCACGATAGAAAAATATGGATGCCGTATGAAGTCTTTTTTTAATTGACAAACCGCTTCAAGAACTTTCGTGAAATACTCTGAAACTGTGGACTCCGAGCGCTGCCAATGGTCCTGCGCCTCCCTATTAGTTTGGTTTTGACACAGTATTGTAAGGAATATGAATAATTGCTCATCAACATTAAGATTAACTGTTGGTTGCAGTAATCCCCTTTCCTCAAGGATAAAAGATAGACGTCTAAAAGCGTCACTACTCATGCAAACCTTGTCGTAAATCACTTCTGGACTCCCATTGAGATAGTAATCCACTCTAAGCCGGCCTCCCCAGCCAGAAGTGTGCCTTCGGCGTGATGGTTCTCTATATACAAATCCAATGCATAACAAAGTTGCAGCAGCGACAACTTGAATGAAAAATTCGTCGTCACTATCGATGTCTGATGCGTTAGAGTCTGTTGGACAATCGTTCCTACGGTGATCCATACCTGTCAAGGCTTCCAACTAATAACATGCAAATTCTATGGTTTAATAACTATGCAAACTAAAGCATCACGTCATCATCAACAATAACAAAGTTGCTTTATTGTTATTAAGAATACAAATCATGAACAATAACAACATATCAATATTTTGCCCATCACATTGTGACAAGCGTGGATAATGGCCAAAAGGGTAGAAAATGTCATCTTGCCACCAGCCATAAACCTGCAATGTGAGGCAAGAGACCAATAATACAAGCAATGAAAATTGGCATTTTTTGTTGGAATGTAGTCCAACAAATGAAGCAAACCCATTACCATTCCACTACATAATCACAATCAATATAGAACCTGCAACGATAATGCTAAAGCCAAAGGCAACCAGCCTCAGAAAATTCGCAAGTGTCTCAAATAAACACTCTAAATATTCTACATATCCGTGGTCCTCAAATAAACCAAAATTGGACCAAATAGAAATTCAAATATCAATGTATCTTAATCATAAAATGCAAGGAATGAATTAAAAAAAAAAATGAAGAACAACATAATAACGTTTCAAAGCGGATGTGAACCACTATCTCCTCTATTTGGGCTGGAAAATGGTGGAAAGTTTGGTGGTGGCATGTATGGTTGAAAATTACTAGTGGTCGGTTGGAATGTGTTGACAGTCGGATGGAAGGAGTGTGTGAAATGCTGGTTCATTGGATTGCGAGACTGAAACGGATGCGGTGGTACAGGCATGAATGGTGGTGGTGGAGGCGGAACTTGCTGATTTGCATGTTGCTCCATCATCTGTTGGATCCAAGCCAATCGGTGATGCTCCTTCATGTGCAAAAATGGCCGCTGGAGTGTAGCATGTGTTGTCAAGAAGTTGAACATGAAAAGATATTGATCTTGAGGTATTTCCAACTCTCCAAGTAAATCAATGCATTTGTCCTCAAACGTCTCATTCTCAACTGAAGGCGGTGTGGCGGAACTTTTACCACGCTTACGGCCGTGGTCCTCAATAGATGACACTAGGCGATCCACTGCACACTCCATGAAGTTTGGCACGCGTGTCTGACTGTGTCTAGCTGACCGTTTATTATTTAAACGGGATTGTGAGGCAACATGTGGGGTTCGGCCGCCACCGCTTACACCAGGCCTCATTTCTGTGTAATCATTTTTGAAGGTATCATTGAAGTGTTGGGACCCTCCGTCAATGTCAATGGGGCTGGTTGGGATCGGTTCTGGGGGATAA